CCTCAACCCTTCCCTTTTCCCCTTACCACTTCGCCAACGCCACCTCCGCCCTCATATTTCTTTTGTTCCTAGCCGGAGATTGGTTTGTTGTTGTATTTCCCCTTTCCGTTTGTGTTGGGTTGTAACTCTATTTCAATATTAATAAAAGTTACTTTTGTTTCCGCTGATTTTCTAACTACATCCGATATCAGTAACTATAGATTAAAGAGAGGTCTTCTAATCAAGCCTACTCTTAAACACTGGTAGGCCGAAAGTTAAGCAGTAGAACTATCCAAGGCCTGCAGTTTAAAGTTCCGCATACGTTTAACCTACAATAGAGCTATTTAAAAAAGACCTACAAATGAAGGTCCGGCCTAGCTTAAATGTATAAACAAAAATGCCTTTTATTGCATTATATATGAACAGAGCAATCTTTAAGACTAAGTGACTCCCTTACAGATCACAAAAGACACCATGATATGTGAAATGATTTACAAAGGAGTGAATCTTTAAAATTTTGCTTATAAGGAAGGAGAGATGCTCACAAGCTCTAATGTGAAAACAAAAAACTCGCTATTAGAATCCATGGCATTGGATATGATTTTTAGAATTGGCGTCTTTGTACTCAAGGATGATTCTCAATGTGTGTATAAGGTTGAAATAGCTTTCTGACGGGCAAAAGAAATCTTAATTGTCCAATCAATACAGAAATAGTCTGGAATTCCTTTTGTGGAGATATGCTATATAAATACAGATTTGACATCGATTGACATTCAAAATGAGGCGAGGAAGAAAAAGAAGAACAACTGAGGTAGAGCAAGATATGACCAGTAAAATAACTAAAAAGGACAAAGGAGAAGGAGCATGTCAAACTCAACTTTAATTCAAATCCCAAAAAGGTATCCATTAGTATATCAAAAAATTAATGCATCTTATGCAAAGGATGCTGACCAAATAACTGTTTTAAGGAAGCTTGTGCAACCAATGAGGATGAAATGCAATTTTTAAGAAATATGAAAATAACCACTGATTGAAATAAGAGCTAAAAAATAAATCTAATGTTTTTAAGGTATCTGTCAAGAAAATGTAATTTAACGAAGGATATAAAGTTCAATCCAAAATATAATTCATTGACATCATCCATTGTTAAAAAGTTAATGGAAAAAACCTCATAAAAAAAGACTACCTGTTTTTTAGAACTACTATGAGGATCAATGGCAAAATGTATTTCATGCATCAGCCGCTCAATCATGCTGATAGTGTAAGGATGTTGGGTTTCAGGATTTATAGTCTTCTGCATTACAATTGTTGCAATATCCCGAAACTGGCTTGATAGCTGGGATTCCCTCTCCTTTCCAGCAACTTGAAGTTCTCCCTTCTCCAAAATCTAGTGATTTCAAACTCATCATGATCAAACTAATATTCTTAAACATTTAAAAGGAATTTCAATGGTTGAATAACCATTAGTCAAATAAACATAGAATTAATATCTTAGAGAAAAAGAGCAATAATATATCCATTTAATTATCAATGCAGATAGTTCCATCATTAGGAAGAATTAAAAATTGAACATGCAAAGCATCAAATCTGTAAGAAAATCAAACTGCAAAAGGATGCGTTCTAAGACTGGGTATTAAAAAAGAACTTAAAAATTGAACATGCAAAGCATCAAATCTGTAAGAGAATCAAACTGCAAAAGGATGCGTTCTAAGACTGGGCGTTAAAAAAGAACTAAGCAAACAAGCTCATGTAAACTCAAGGCTGCTATTCACAATATTGCAAATGGAATAGGATCAATAAATCACGAAAGAGTGCAAGAATGAGCAAAGGATGTTTTTAAATTCTAAACAAAACATAAATAGTTGCAGAATTAATAAAATAAAGCTGAAAAACGGAAGAGCTAACTAAATAAGTGTTTCAATTGGAAATAAATTTTGAGATTGTTCATCGAAAAGGCGTGATAAATGGACATCTTACCTCTTTGCATATGAATGATTGATCAGTAGTTTTAAAAGCTGCATGTAAATCTTTTGACTTTGCAAGAACTCCTTTAGAAACATTTGAGTATACAGTATGTGACTGCAATACTTCATCCAGATCTTTTTCTCTGTAAAACATTTAAAGATAAAAACAGCATTATTTAAACTTACGAGGTTGGCAAAGTACAATATGATAACAAAAGATCTATCACAAGTTAAAAAAATAGAATCACTAGGAAGAAGCAAATAGCGATAACAAACATTAAATTGTAAAATTTAAAGGAAAAAAATGTGCAAACGAGATTATTAACCTCGTGTTAAACTTGATGAATAAATGGATAAACAAAGATTCATCAAGCCCGCCACAAAATTGCAATAAACAATAAGGATAATGATGGTGGTGATGGTGACCAACTGATCATTTCAGTTAGAATTTCAGTTCTGAAGTCACGATATTAACAAAGCAAAAAAAATTGATAGAATGTGAGATAAGCATACAAAAAACTGCACATATTACAGCACTTAAACACATGTCATAGCTCAATGTGTTTCCTGAAGCCCTTTCAAACTTAGTCATCTTAAATATGATGTCTTAGTTTAACAAATTAAAAAGCACGCCCTTAAAACTGTGATTTAAGCAAAACAGACAGCTTAGGTCAAAAGAACAAAGAAAAATTGGTCATAATTATGATCCCAAAATTTCAACGCCCCAGCCTCTCTCGAAGAAAAAAATATGAGAGGCTTTACTATGAGATTCCAGGTCAAATTTTCAAAAGAATGATGAAACAGTAGTAAAGACATTAACCAGGGTAAGATCTAGGATTTAAGATTTCTCATAGGAGCAAGCCCTTATGTTTAATTACCCCTTCGATAACAAGAGTACTTTCGATTAAGTCTAGTCATTAGGCGTAAAGTATCCAAAACTAACATTTAATGACAGCAAATTTAAGTTTTGTAATTATTAAATTATCACTTCGAACTGAGGGTGAATGATGGGAAAATGGTGACAAACCTAATCGAGCACAATGTTCCGTCATCTCAAGTTGTCTTGATCTCTGATCTACTTACTCAAAAGTAGTCTGCCCAACTTGATAGAATAATCATTGCCAGTAACCATAGGTTGCTTCGTCTTATAGACTTGGGATTGATGTTTGTCTAAGGTACTAATTTAAGTCAATATTAACTTAAAGAGGGTTTAGTATCTTATCAGATATGTTATATGATTCACAACTCAAATGAATAGAATATCATTGAGAAACATACGGACTACAGTTGTGATCATAATATAACGGAGCCTACTGGCAAAACCACCTTATTGTCTTTATTAGTCAAGTCATTCGGTCAAAGGGCTCTGAAGAGAACTGCTTTTTTTTGTGGAACTGTCTACTAAATCATGCAGAGAGATGACTCAGGTCACCTTTTTACTGATATGAGATTGTTTTGAATATAAATTTAGTACTATAATTGATATAAAATTTGCTCTTTGTAAGCTTAAGTTAATCTAAAATTTGCAACATCGACAAATAGTTGTGGAGAGATGAATTTTGCATTAAGCATTTGGTAATAGATTCCATGTGAATATTTTTAATTATAAAATTTAAGACGATAAATGTGTAATGAATATGCTCATCATCAAAATTAAGTTATTACTTAAACGTCATTAAAAGTACTAATCTTGTCGACTCTGGTGCATGTGAGGAGGATGATCAAATTAATGTATCAAAAGCTCAATCATATCAACTTCGTTCCTGATCAAAAGTAGGATTAGACTAGCAAGAAGTATGACTTACAACATTGCCCTATAGGCAAAGTGGTGTGATTAGAGCATAAATATTTAATAGTTTTAAAATTGATATTTAAGAAAAAAATTTGCAAAGCTTTGAAAGGTGTCCATGTTTCTCAAGGAAAATTTAATTTTTTGCCTAAAAATACAGTTAACTAATGTAGTATTCTCAAACGCTTAAGTTTAGAAAAATTAGGCTTATCATTGAAGGACATATGGCCATTTCATTAATATGTGCATGTAATATGTGCAGATTTTAAGTTGCTCCCATGTTTTTGTAACAATACATTTGAGTTCGAGCTTAGAAGCCTCAAGAAACATGTAGATCTCAAAATTTTCTAGAATTTTAAAAGCTTAAATAAATATTATATTTTGCTTTGAAATGCATGCAAGTTTTCAATTTAAATTTTCTAAATTTCACCTTTTCCCTGCTCATGTGAATATTGTGGATTCAGTAATGAGTTAAAACGAAAAAGAATCTTATGAGTACATTGACAGAAAGTTCTTATATGTTTGAATGTAAGTGGATGTCATTTTTATAACCTTTATATGATTTGGACTTTAATGGGTTAGTCCCACGTAAGATTCTTTTTCTTCTTATAAATAAGGAATGACAAGTCCATTCCCTTTCATGTTTGATAATTATTACGTAAGCAATTCGAGTTGAAAGATCCTACTAGAAATTTCTATTTGTCTTCAAAATCTTTAAGAATCCTCTATAAGTTTTATATTCATTTAACATCCATTTTATTCTTAGCAATTTATATTTCATTTATTTAATTATTTTTTTGGTTTGTCAGAATTCATGGATGTCATTTTAAGTTCAGTTTCGGTTTCATTTAGTTCAACTTATATTTTATTTAGATCTTCTGTCAATTCAAAATTTTAACAGCCTCCCAACGTCATCCCCACTTAAGGGGTTGCATCGAGGGGTGTGTTAGATCTTCCCATCGCGCTTTAACAAGCTTGCATGGTTGATGTCTTGCGACATCATGATCGAAGATCATCATACCTAGCATATTTAAAAAAGCATGCATAGTCCTTCAAGTATTTGCACAAGTGAAGCATAAATTTCCTTATTGCGATGAAACAACACCCACGAGTACTTAAGTCATAGTTTATCTATATCATGCTGGAAAAACGTGCACAAGCACTAAATAGGCAAATTTTCCCACCGAATTGGAAAGTGTACGAGTATTTGAGTGTTCGAGATTTATAAATTCACACAAGGAAAGCAAATGAAGCTGAATGATAAAGAACCTGGATGAGTTTCAAGACAATAGTTATATTATTACTATTATTACTTTTCTCGTTATGTGATTTTGATATTGCTTTTATTTTCTTTTTCTTTTTATTCTATCTACATAAAATTTTACTATATATAAATATTCAATACTAAATTCTATAAAATCCAAACATAGTGGTGGTTTGATGGTTTGCGTTTTACCATCTTTTCCTTTTGGTGGTTTAATGATTTGATGGTTTGATGGTCATCTTCTAGGTTTACCTACTGGTGGTTTAATGGTTTGCGTTTTACCATCATTTTCCTTTGTTCTCTCTGTTTTTCTGAGAAATTGCAATGAGCCAATGGAAAAATGAAAGTTGAGTTGTTATATAAGCTAAATAAGTTGCATTACAGTAATTGCATTTTTTTGCCTTCATTTCTATCTGGAAAAGCATTTTATGACGAAAATATGAGCATTGTTTGTTATTTTGAAAAAAGATACCTGAGAAATTGAGTTGATGGAAACATCAAGTTTAAATGTTAGAAAAGTTATTTCAATTTACTTTCCCCTTCTTCAATCAGAAAAAAATTTTATAAATAACAGGAGTACTGTTGGTTCTTTAGATAAAAATTTAATTGAAATTTTTGAAAATTTTTCTTGAGCCTATATACATATCAATGTTTAGATTGGAAGCAATAAGTGCTCTCAGTTCTTTAAAATATTATATATAAAAAATTTCTTTGAGCTGATGCAAACATAAATTTTAGATATTAAATATGTTATTTCTTTTCACTTTCATCTTCTTCAATCAGGAAAAGTAATTTATGGATAAATATATGAGCACAGTTGGTTATTTTAAAAAATTATTTTGAACCGATGTAAAATAAAAAAAATTTACTGTTAAATAAGTAATTTCGTCTTGCATACCTTTGTTTCGATTAGGAGAAGCATTTTCTGGAAATAATTATGAGCATTGTCTGTTCTTTTAAAAATATATTCCTCAAAATTTATTTTGAGTCGATATAAATATCAAAGTTTAGATGTCAGACAAGTAATTAATTTTAAATTATTTCTGCTTCAATATGGAAAAAAGTGTTTTCTAGAGAGAATTATGAGAATTATTATTTTTTTAAAATATATATAAAAAAAAATTGCTTTGAGTCAATGTAAACATCAAGTTTATATATTAATATAAGTTATTTCATTTCACTTTCCTCAATTTCAATAAGAAAAAGTAATTTATGGATAGATATATGAGCATTGTTGGTTATTTTGAAATATTGTCTTGAGCTAATATAAATTTCGAAGTGTTGATGTAAGATAAGTAATTGCTTTTCACTTTGCTATTTTTCAATTTGAAAAAACATTTTATAGAGAGGATTATGAGTATTGTTGGTTCTTTTAAAAATATATTCTTGAAAAATCAATTTGAGCCGATGTAAATATCTAAGTTTAAATGTTTAATAAGTTATCTCATTTAACTTACATTTGTTTCAATTCAGAAAAACATTTTTTGGAGAAAAATATGAGCACTGTTGGTTGTTTTAAAAAAACATACAGAAGAAATTGCTTTGAGCCGATATAAACATCAAGTTTAGATGTTAGATAAGTCATTTCATTTCACATTCCTCTACTTCAATTAAGAAAAGTAAATTATGAATATATATATATGAGTATTGTTACTTATTTTAAAAAATTGTCTTGAGTCGATGTCAATATCCAAGTTTAGATGTTGGATAAGTACTTGCTTTTCACATTGCTCTTCTTAAATCTGGCATATCATTTTATAAAGAGAGTTATGAGCACTGTTGATTCTTTTAAAAATATATTCCTAAAAAATTGATTTGAGCTAAATATCAAAGTTTAGATGTTTGATAAGTTATTTTATTTTACTTTCCTTTGTTTTAATCTGAAAAAAAATTTCATGAAAAGTATTATGAGCACTATTGGTTTTTTTGAAAAAAGGCTTAAGCAACAAAACACCGTCATATATATAAATAAATATAAAAACTCTAAAAACAAAGTTTCAATCTAAAAAAGCATTTTATTAAAAATATTATGAGCACTATTGATTATTTTGAAAAAAGACCTAAGAACTAAAGCACCATCACATGACTTC